AATAAAATACCTGTCAATATAACCATTTGTATTTTTTAGCAATTCCGTGTTTATGACTTAATATTCTTGTGTCAATTATAGTTTTATAATGAAGTACGCATGAAGTTAATAATGAAAAATAACAGTCAATTCATGTACAGACAAGAATCTCTTGTCAAAGAGATCACTCGTAAAAAGTTACGAAATAAAGAGGCTTCTTGTAAATAAAAAGAAAGAAAGAAAATTAAAAACTTAAAAACCATTTAAAAAATTGTCAGTAAAATTATCCCATTTTTGCTTAGAAAAATTGACGAATAAAAACCTGTAACTTTTTTTTTTTTTTAGAGATTTACCTTTATCATTTCGGTTTGGTGCTAAAAAAAAAAAAAAAAAAAAAAAAAAACTTATAAATTTCAAGAAAGATTTTTGGGCTATAAAAAAAATCCTCAGTTGTAAAAGTTTAGGTTGAAACAAGGAAACATCCACCCCACACACACAATGAGCAACACTAATATTTAAATACAGAAAAAAAGTAATTAAAAAATGCATAAATCTTAATTTATGAATTGCAATAATAATAATAATTATAATAATCTTAGTCTAGAAAACCTCAAAGAAAATAATGAAAAACCATTTGCATTTTTAGTTTCTGTTTCTGACACCGTTTGCTGTTGCTGGGCATCACAACATTGTGTCATCAACAGAGAAAGAATTTTAGTCACAACCAAACCAAACCGTTGGATACACAATAGGCCTTTGTGCGAAGAGAAGGTCCTCAAAGAAAAAGAGATTCGACAACAGGCAGCAAACATGATGCTTTTCTATTGTCTCTCATTTGTCCTTACACTACACAGGCCCTTACTTACTCACCCTTTATTAGTGGACTGCACACACAAAAAATATTTATGAAAAAGAACAAATCATATACACACTCATACTTCCGATGGTTGGGGTGATAAGACTCATTCGCTAAACACTGAACAACGTTAGCGTGAGGAAGAGGAGGAAGCGAAATAGAAAACAAAGGAGAAAAGCAGTCAGTTTTGTTGGTTTATCAAACCAAAATTTGTTATTAAAGAAAAAAACAAACATTTAGACTGAATACGGAAGATGAGAAAACGATCGAATTTTTAACAAGATTAAGGATTCAGTTAAACTTTTAGGAGCCATGACCTGACATTAAACAGTAAGGAATTAGGGTGATAGAATATTTCGCAAGTACTGTGTTGTCTACAACAGGAAACACTCAAAACAGCTACTAAATACGGGCGAGATTCCCTATCCTTAGGGGTATACTTGAAAATAATGAGCATAGGAAACGTATATAAATAGAATACAGCACAAGAAACAACAGAGAAAATTAGATAGGGGAATGGAGTAAGTGGAAAATGAAGATTCCAAAATCTATGCAAATTGAGTTTCTTCTTTTATGTTGAGATAACTAGCTGACGTAACACCGAACGGCAAATATTTTTTGTACGAATAATAACATAACTAGATAAGGAAAAAAAATCAACAAAAAGACCAAGAAAAAAAGAAATGTGGTTTTTCATCCAGCATTTATTTATTAATGAATCACAAGAGCAATTGTTTATTATTTTTACATTTAAATACATTTCAAAACATGACGCAAAAATAAGAAGACTACTAATAAACTACAATGTAAATGACATGTACTGAGAATTCTCGGGAAAAAGTTAATCCAGAAAAACAAAAAAAAAAAGTAAAAGGAAACTTTTTCGGTGTGGAGATGGTGATATTTTCTAGCTTAAATGACAAAGGCTATAAAGAAGTCACTTTAAATTTAGCTGAAAAGAAAGAAAATCCTACAAGTTCTGATAAACAAAAGTAAAACTGTAGCAGACACTTCTCTCCTCGCAGCAGGCACCGACCTCGGCCAAAGTTTAATTGAACAAATCCCGATAAAAACAAAAAACTTGTTTTAATTCTGATTAGAGACATTAGGTTAGAGAGAAGAGGACAGATTAATCAGTTATCTATCATCTTGACTGATAAATGAAATGACAAATGCAAAGACTGCTTTTTTTTTTTTCAAACTTTTTGTTTCGTAACGTTCGATAGATTAAATGATAAATGCGCATTTTTCGACCAGTCAAAAGAGGAAATGAAATACGATCATCATGAATACGCAGAAAACATTAAAACAGAATTAAAACATCACAAATAGTAAAGAAAGAGAAATAATGACTCACATGCAACATTATTCATACACAACAACAGTCAACAAATTCGAACAAGGAAAGTTAGTACTAAAGTTTTCGTAGGAAATTGCGGAGAAGAGAAAAATTAGTTTTTATTTCAGAAAGATGCTTGTGTAAACACTGAAAGTTTTTCGAAGTGTTTTAAAACAAGTAAAAAGCAGTTAAGACTGTTTTTAATGTTTATGCAATACAAAGAACACAAAACAAAAATAAAAAAAAAAAAGGAAAAAATTCCCATCAAAAGTACCTAAATAAGATATTTTAAAACAAAATAGAAGACTTTTTTTTTACATAAAGAAAGTTTCATTTACTCTGACCTTATTAGCAAAATTTAAAAGAAAGGATAAAAAAGTAGAAAAAGAAAAAAAGAAAAGAAAGGAGATATTTAATTTAGTCATGTACTGTTTACACGACGCTTTTGATTTTATTTTGGGGTTACTCAAATTTCTAGATTTAAATGGGTCGATATTACAAATTATTATTAATCGCCTAAAATATTTTTCAAACTAGAAGTAAAAGGTAAAATAAATAAATTAATAAAACCTAATGAAAGAAGAGCATTTCCGCATGTTAAAAATCAAAATAAAACATAAAAGCAACAAGAAAGGAACAGAAATGAGTTTTTACTTATTCAAATGAATGAAAAAATTACGGCTTGAAAAAAAGAAATATTTAAAGAGCGTTAAATTAAAACATGTAGATAGAAATTCTATCTCACCTTAGTTGAACTTTTTTAAGTCTCCGCACTGAAATTTTAATTTTGACCTTTGTTTGCATTGTTTTTGTTCAACTCCCGTCTTGGCAAGTGTCCGTTTCACTGGATTGTTCCTGTTCAGGGAGCAAAGCCAGAATGACAAAGAGCCAAAGAGGCGGAGGCGAGTATATACAACCCTGGCACCCCCTCGGAAAGCCCAACAATAGACTCGCCCGCTGCCTCATAACTTGTAGACACTTGCAACACTTGATTATTACAGCCACACAACAACAAAGGCAAGCTAGAGGAAAGGAGAACGGATCAGCTGGTTAACACACACCCGTTACTTTTAAACAGTTGGGTTGGGTTCGAACCTAGAAATCTTTGTTGGGAGCATAAAAGAAATCTGTAAGACGAGAAGTGATCATCTGGTCAGCGTGTTTAATTATTTAAACACAATATTTACTTCATTGTTTAATAAACATTTGGTTCGAGATCAAGCTGATAAGGCTACATTTCTACAAACCAAACTTCCCAACTCTTTAAAGGAAAAAAAAATAATCAGTTAAACAAGGCTTAGACATTGGAAAGAATATATTTTTTAGAGACTAAAAACCCGTCTATGTCTGTTTAAAAGAAATAAATTACATAAAGAAATTAATCACGTGAACAAAGTACAACAACAGATGAGAATTCACTATTCAGCTGCTTCGAAACCAGAGACAGGAATTGAGATTTTTCACTTTCAGAAAATAATTTTGCTCTCAAATATAGACTATTATTTTGTAAATATCAAGTTTTTACAATTTTCGCCCAAATAAACATTAACACAAAGTGCTACTATCAGCAAGAGGATGGAGGTATTAGAAATCAATTCGTTAACAAATTGGCTTGTTTTTAAAAGGTTTGAGCCTAATACTGAGCATATCTGTCACATTTTCTCATCAACATACTGATGTTTAGATTAATAATACAGGAAGGGGTTGTTAGCATTATTCAACAGAACAACAAGAGGGTATGGCTCATAAAAAAACATATAGCCAACTTTAAACTGAAGATTTGAAACCAGAAAAATGAGAAATCCAGATAAATGTTTTAAAAAGAAACATTTTGATATGACAAAAAAAAAATACATTTAAAATGACAAGTGAATAACCAACTGTCACTTTCTAACAATTCAAGATATAAAATAAAAAGTACTGAACTTGAAAATAAGGCGACACAATTTAATGTAAACAAATTTTTTAAAGCTTCATATACGTTTCTTGTTGATTACTCGGTCACGTCTAATCAAGCAAGACAGAAAACTGGAATATTTTACTAAAAGATTTTACAAGTATACGACCTAGCAAACTGCATTTATTTATTAGTGAATACTTTCTGTGGAGACGATTGAACCAATTTTTGAACCCAAACCAAATGATCTAAAAACAAAATCCGTCTTTACCAGATGAGCCATAACACCCATTCTTTTGATGGAAGCAAAAGCTACTTACACGCAATTAACAATTTATTTTGTCAAATAGTAAACATGTTCTTCATCATGCGGTTAGAATAGATTTAGGGTCTTCGAGAATAAATATCCCAAGAAACTGAATGGATCTGATTATTTAAAAATAACTAAAATTAAACGTGAAATTAAAGAATATTTGACCAGAATAGACAACCACTACCTAATATTCTAGTAGTAGCAGCAGTACAATGACAAATCATTATTACACAACACAATAGTCAAACAAATGTGATAGCAATACAAAGACAATTAAAATCTTATAAAACGATTAACAGATTAGTATTAACATATTCAGAACTAAAAAAAAATTATGAGATGAAAAGGTCTGGGCCAGGTTTTTTTCTTAAAAGATATGGGTGTCTTGTTAAAAATGACGATGAAGAAACAAAATTCATTTTGCTAAGATATAACGAACAAATCGCTTCGTGTTTAACTCTTAAAACGACATATTAAAAGCTGTAGAATCGCTCGATTATTAAATAAAACATCGATTCGGTGTGGATTTTGTTAAATTTAAGCTTTTATCAGCCGAAAGGTAAATTTTCACAGGGAGTGGTGACAACCTTAGTTAAAAACTAGTCTTTTTACTTACCGAAGTAAAACTTCTAGGGCAGATTCATGGCGATCTACAGATTTGGCGATCATCGAGTTCCGAAGCTTGTTGAATTCATTTAAAGCCGTATTGTAATCGTTTGGTTCAGCATTACTGAATGTATTTTCAATGAAATTCCTCAATGGCTTGACCAAGTCCGTCTCGGAAGCTTTTTTCAGCGGAACACCTATGAAAGTCGCCATCTTGAAACGGTCTGATCATCTGCCGGACGAGTTTATTTATAGATTTAACAATGACGTAGTAAACAGAAAAGGGACTGCATCCATTGTCGTCTGCTAACGAATAATAAACAAATATTATCTTCTTATGATTTTTTTAAATACCCACTATGAATTTTTTTATTAAAATCATAAACCTATTTTCATCGATTACCAACAGAAACCATAGAACTAAAGAAAAAATTCTTTACGTCTTAAAAAATTTCACTAATGCGTTCCCATACTTATCAATATCATCTCTTGTTGAAGCAAAAATCAAGTTGAAACGAATTTAATTATTTTTTTTCAAAATGTATTAAAATAAATTTACTTCACTTATTTAAAATATAAAAAATATTTTAATTTTATTTAGAGACAGTTTACTTTTTTTTTGTTATTTACTGAAAAGCAAACATAATCCACATTCGATTCACGTTTTCTGCCATTATTGTTATTGTCGACTACTCGGGCCGACAATAACAAAGACTTTCAGTTTCTAATTCGTCTGTTTATTTAGTTTTAAAGGCTTCGTTGTATAAATATTGGCAAATGATTAAAAAGAATTAATGGAAGAAGGAAAACCATTTTCAACAGCTATTCACTAAAAAATATTTATGAGAAGAAAATTTTCCTACTTTCATTCATGCTTTTAAAAATGTTGACAAAGAAAAATTTTAACGTCTTTAATTTTACTATTAAAAACGAAAACTAAAAAGAGAAAAAAATTATATTTTATTATATATTCAAGAAAATAAATATTTGATAATTAATCACTTCATCCAAAAGTGAATTAATAAATGATAAATAAAATATTTTTATTCACAAAAAATAAATTTAACAAATAAATAACACTTTTTTTTTTTAGCAACTAGTTTTTTCCCCCTGTGGCACAAATAATCAACAACACACACAAAAAAAGAAACTTGATGAATATTCTGATTTATTTATATTTTTAATCAAAATTAAAATTAAAATAAACGTGGTCGTTTTAATAAAGAATTAATTCTTTTTAAAATGCTTAAAAAAGAATTCTGAAATCGCTTTGGTGGACGTATGTTCTGTCGTTGCAAATTGACAAATTAGAAAGAAAATTCAATAATTTTCAAAAGAGACTTTTATTAATTAACAAAAATCTGTACTTTTAAAATAAAACGTACAAGTCAGCTCTAAATTTATTGTGGGAATATAAAATTGCTAATAATTTCGTGGGATAAGTTATTTATTGATACATTAATTAACCGACTAAAAACATTAGTTTGAAAAAAAATATTGATTAGAAAATCTATATTTTTCATTTAAACAAAACAAAGAAAATCTATATTCTTTATTTTAGACTAAACAAAGAAAAATTTGTTGGTTTCATTTTGGATAAAAATAATCTTGAGCACATTTTAAATAAGCAATTAAAAGAATTAAAATAGTTTTAGAAATAAATAAAAAAAATATATATTTTTTTCTTAATGCAAGGAATTTGTACTTGATTTTTTCTTAACAAAAAAGAAAATGTATAAAAAGTAATTTTTACTTAATAGCTTTAACAGCAACATTTTTTTTAAGAAAACCATTAGTGGATAAAGTAACTATTTTGTTTTTGTTGATAAATTTTGTTCAGCATGTGTTTTTATTTTAATTTGCTCTTTTTTAAAACTAGTTCTTAAATTAAATTTTCTAAAAATTATATTAAAGTTGATTCAATAACATTGGTTTCAGAGTGATATATTCAGTTTCAACATATTATTTAAATAAGTCTCCTTATGTACTAAAAATGAATAGAGTTAAATTTTTTCTGCATGTGCTACTTACTACTAAAAGTTCTGGGGTTATTTTCAAACATTTAGAAGAAGCAAATCTGGTTACCAAGGCAACATTACCCTAAAACTGACTTATTTAGTGTTAATTTTCTTTAAGATGAATGACCGATTTAGAATTTTCAAGATATAAGACTTAATTTTTATCCATCATCTGTTATTTGAAGAAAGATGAAGAATAGTAAAATTCTATCAGAAAAAATGAAATTATTCATTTATATTGTTTTATGATTGACAACAAAGGATGAAATAAACTTTGTATAAAAATAAAAAATAAAACAAACTAAAAATAAAACTGTTGGGCTGAATCAAATATAGTTAAATATGGCAAAGTTAGCCAGCTTCACTAACTTGAAATTCAAGTCCAGTTCAAATTTCACATGAATTTGATTTTATGTCTCAAAAGTAATTAGATATCAAATTAACTTTTTTTTATGTGTCCCATTTTAAAAACAAATTCTGTGCAATTATTTTTCTAGTTCTTTGTTTAAGAAATTGTTTTATTCTTGAATCATCCAATACATAAACAATTAATCTTGTCTTCCATTTCATTATGATGATAAAGAAATTAAACATATGGAACATTGATATGATTTACTTAATTATTTATATTTAATTCCCCAGGAGGGATGTGCCCCTGTCTAAAAATCCTTTTATCACATTCTATATCACTTTCAATACCTCCCAAATCCTAGTTCTCTCACAGGTAAAAACATCAGTAGAACATCCATAATGTATATTTGAAATTCAGAAATAGGACTAAGTAATTTTTTATATATATATATATACAAGCTTGTTTCACTGTATTACAGCTCATCAGTGTGGCTAGACTTCTGATTACTTCAAGCCAGCATCAAAACTCAACCAATTTGGCATTAGTCAGAGACTCTACCCCTAAGCTATTGGCACATGGCAGATAAAGGGAATCTTTTAACATATTATATACGTGATGTATATAAACACCAAATATGCCTCCTTAAAGGAGGCATGATGGAGTAGTGGATAGCGGCTTGGATTGAGGAATTGGGGAGCTGAGTTCGAATTCATTACATTCAGTTACATGCTAATACCCTTGGGAAAGGTATTAATTCTCTTCTTCTCCCTCCAGCTATGGGTAAATAGCAGGACAGACTGGGTTCTATAGCCTTGGATGGCAATTGATCTAGGTGAAGGACAACTCTGAATTTAAAACCTACAGAAGGTTGTTTGGGGAGCTTCCTAGGAACTGAACTGCTTGACCCTCCTACATCGAATAAAACAGGACAGTCCACCATATATATTAAACATATATCACTCTAACATGTTTCATTTTTATTAAAGCTTTGTCAGAGATTGAAGTTTCAATGAAAGTGAAACGTTAGATTTTTACAAGAATTGTTTTCATTTTTTTAAAAATTTTAATTGTAATAATTTATAAAGTTTTAAATCTTTTAAAATTTTAACTTAGTTAGATTAGGTACATCCACGAGATGCACAAAAGAGCATAGCATGATGAAAAAGACGCCAAAATTGATGAAAACAAAATTTTATCATCTAAATGTTTATGTTATTATTAAGAAGAAAGATCAAAGTATTTTGGGTGTATTTTTTTACATTTTTTAATCGTTCCTAGCATGTCCGAAATTTTCATTAAAAATCTTTTTTTTTTTTTGAGTCAGCAAAATTGACAGATAATTGATCATGGCAACCTTTTTTTTCATTTTATAAAAAAATGAAAATCTCAGTTTAAAATTCTTTTAAAAATCAATTATCATTTTTTCAAAACTTATTTTAAGAAAATCAGAAATTATAATGTTTATTTAAAATATTTTGAACCAAGCTTAACTTAGTTTCTGCACCGAAAAGATGTAATTTGAAAATAAAACAAAGCAGGTCATAAACTTTCACGTCACTTGACAGGTGATGAATGACATATTGACGGATTATGTGAGGATAATTTGTTCTACGGAAAGAGAAAAGTGAAATTATTTAGATTTAAGTGAACAAATTATTTACCTTTACTTATTTACTCTTTGGGTCCTGTCACTGGCTCTAACTAACGCATTTATCCACTGTGCCCAGAACTTTCAGAGGGGAATTAACAGGAGATAACTGACATCCATTAGACATGGCACATGGAACTAGAACAGTCTACCCCAGTGAGCAAAATAAAGGGTTCAGTTCAACACTCCAACCACCTGAAGAAGGCCTGAGCGTACAACAGCTGAAACGTTGTGATAAAGATGAGGACAATAGTCTGAATAATGTAAATAGCGTACATAATACCTCATCTCAGAAATATAGACATATAAATTTTATACTTATTTCTACTATAAATGTGCCAATTTTTGTAAATATGGACGTCCATACATGACATTATCAGAAAATAAGAGTCATATCTATAGTAAAGTTAAAGCCAAAGTACCTAAAATTCAATAAAACATTAGATTATGGAGAATATTTTCCTAAATTTTTAAGATTACTGGGTAGTTTAAAAAATTAAAATTATATATATTGCTCACATTATATTCCTCAAGTCATTTTTACAGATATATCCACTGTAGGAAAAAAAATTAGATAAACTCCTGTTTGTCAACCTGTCAACACCTTAAATAAATAGGTACCATCGTGTTAAATGCATACTAATATTTGTTTCAAAACAGATTAATTATACTTTAAATCAGCAAATATTCCTCAAATAAAGTTTCAGAAAAATATATTTTATTTTTGAAAGATTTTTTAATAAGAGAATCACATCGTGATGAGAGACATATAGATGGCTAAAAATGGTACTAAAATCAGCTATTTTAACAATTTCAAAACAAAGACTTCTTCCAGTCAATTTAAAGTAGTTTTGAAAGACAGAAAAAGTATTTTACTTATTGGAAATATTAAATTTAATCTATTAGCTTGAAATTGAAGCTAAATTAAAAGATTCAAGTAAGATTTTTCATTTAAAAAAACTAATTTTAAACCTTATGTATTTATATAAAGATTATTTTATTCAAATTTAAGCTCTAGGTAGAAAAAGAAAAAGTAAACACTTTT